TTATCATATGAGAGAGAGAGAGGGAGAGAGAGAGAGAGAGAGTTTTCAAACAGGGTATTGGGGAGGTGGCATATTTTTTTTCAATATCAAATCAAATAATTATAATGTAAGTTTTAATGTATTCTACTTTTTGATATGTACACAAATGATGTATTATTCAGGACTCCTAAATTGAAACGTGTTATTTACATTTACCTTATTACACAGTTTAACACCAACAGCAATTGAGAGTATTAGTCAAGTATCATTGAATTGACTATTAATTAAAATGGGCGTATTACATTTGCGCGGATTTGGGGATTAACGGAAATTACATTTACGCGAAAAAAATATTACATTTGCGCGACTTTAAACTATAGATCTACCGGTGTATTTACCATGTTAGTAAATACAACTCATTGTCAAGTCGTATTACATATTTTATACTGAGTATTTTGACCGTAAGTACGTTGATGACGGAACCAGAACTAGAACAATCGCTTACAAATAAAAGTAAGAAGTCGTGTAAGGCGAAACTTAGAAAAGAGAGGCGAAAGATACCAGAGGGACATTCAGACTCATAAGTCGAAAATAAACTGACAACGCCATGGCTAAAAAAGAAAAAGACCAACAGACAAACAATAGTACACAAAACACAACATAGAAAACTAAAGACTGAGCAACACGAACCCCACCAAAAACTAGGGGTGATCTCAGGTGATCTCAGGTGGTCCGGAAGGGTAAGCAGATCCTGCTCCACATGAACTGAAGAAATGTAACATTTTTTTCGCGCAAATGTAATGTACCGAATTAAAATATACACGCTTAATGTCTTCCAATTGATACTGAACATCACGTGCCGTATAAAGTTTAAATATCATTAATTTGATGCACAATTTAATCCTTTTATCTTAAAATTGAAAATATATGCCTATTAAGATTATAGTTATAAAAAAAACCAAAAAAAAACCAAAAAACACTCCTCCCAAACGGAAATAAATAGTAAATAAAAGATCAAGATCAAGATAAGAAAATAGGATTTTAAAAGAAATAACAAATTATATAAAAAGAAAAGATGAATACAAATTACAAAAAAAAAAACTGAAATACATATTAGAAATGATAAAAAGGTAGGAAAACTGCATGAATCATAAAAATAAAATTTCCCTTTCTTGTATTTACATGTATAATGTATCTTGATATAATTATATTCGGAATGCATTTAGATTGCAAACGTTTAACATAGAGAGGATGCTCATACATATATGATACACGTTGTATTTCACCCCTCCTCCTATTTTTCCTATATTTTCAAACAATATTTGTTTTAATACGTTTTATCTCCTGGGTTGTTGGATAAGTGATTGTGAAATTAAGTTTAAATTTAAGCAAATAAGAAAAAGCATTATATTTATTTAGAATATATTTAGATTGAGACATCGGCATCAGTGATTTGTGTAACATTTTCTTATAAAAACATTCAGATAAATAAAAAAAATACCATACCTTGTATAAAAATAAACATTTTTGACGAATACAGATTTGACTGTCCGCACTTCTGGTCGTAAGGGAAATTCAATCCCTATTCCGTGTGACTAGGTTGTCTTTTTCTAATTGATTTCAAAATAAAGTGTGACTACGTGGCACGCGACATCATTTGAACTTCTGTCGCTGTAGCACACCTGGTGAGGAAAAATTGGGAAAATTCTTTTTTATTTATTCATATTTCTCGCTGAAATTACCTTGTTTATGACGGATTACATTTTGATCTATTGATTCAATAAAGCCTGAATGGAGCCTCTATGAAATATGAAACAGCTGTCCCATAGCCGATACACATCAAACACTTCGATCACTGTAAACTTAATTTTTCTATCGATTCTTAATAATTCTGTATATCTATTATATAAGCATTTCTGACTAAAGTTTAAATAACTGCCAACTATAGTGGCTTTCTTTCTTTCAACAGTTTTTTTTTATAATATGTAGATGGAAGATGCATAACGTAAAATAGTGATGTATGCATTCTGCCAGGATCCATTGTAATTCACGAAAGGGGGCGTAATTGTTTAAAATTGTTAAAAAATAAAACAAAACAGCCCAGCGTATAAAGCCGAGGTGATTTTTCTTTAAACGATTTTAGGCAATATAGGGTTAGGCGTCCTGGCGTACGGCCCCCTTCGTCCCCCTTATATGTGGATTAATGGAGAGCTTTATAAGCATTACATACAATTGTTCAAATACGGTCAAACCATTAAATACAACTGTCCAAACACGGTCAATTTAAAGACCGCGTGTTCCAAAAACTATCAAACCATTGAAGACGTGTAAATACGATAAACAGGCGCGGAACTAGTATTTCGTGTTAGTGTGAGGGCCGACAATTAGGAATTAGTAGACCTTATAATTATTTTGATACAAAATTGTCTTTAATTTTACCTTTATTATATTTTCTTCTTTTTTGGGGGGGGAAACGCCCAATCTGAATCCGCACCTGGTTAAATAATTGAAAGCTTCTGTCTGAAAAGGGTCTTATGCAAATTTATAGAGATAAATAAAAAATAGATAGCATTGAATATTCATATTATTTTGAAGAAAGACGTGAAATATAACTTAGCCTATTGTGTGTTCTTGGTTACTGACATTTCTCGACCGCGGCGAGATTGAACGAGTTTTTGTTGTGTTGTATCAAACTTTACACCGTCCTGTATTTTTGTTTTTAATCAAAACTGATTAGATTAGAGTCTGGATGGCCTGGAGGTACTTCATTTCTTTTTTTCTTTAATTTTTAGACCTTTTTTCTCTTTTCTTTCTCTTTTTTTGTCCATCATTCTCTAATTTTGATATTATAACACCAAATTATTCTCCATTCTTTATTTTTTACCTATTTTTCTTTTTTCTTTATTTTTTTAGCTCACTTTATTCTACATCTTGTGTCCATTATTCTTTATTCTGTAAACCCCATCCAGACCCTCATCATTTGTATTTTTTTTAAATAGCGAATCCGTTGATATATATGTTTTACTATAAACTCGATATGGTAAAGTGTTTCCATATTATTTTTCTGTAAAATCTGTCAAATATGATGTTTATATCTAATCAAATCAATAAAAATTCTTGAGTCCAACATATAAAAATTATATAAAATTAAAAGGCAAATTATAGCATATAAATCAATACAGATCACAAATAAATTTAAGTTCATATACGATATATATCAAATAAAATTGAGAATGGAAATGGGGAATGTGTCAAAGAGACAACAACCCGACCATAGAACAGACAACAGCAGAAGGTCACCAACAGGTCTTCAATGCAGCGAGAAATTCCCGCACCCGGAAGCGTCCTTCAGCTGGCCCCTAAACAAATATATATACTAGTTCAGTGATAATGAACGCCATACTAAACTCCAAATTGTACACAAGAAACTCAAATTAAAAATAATACAAGACTAACAAAGGCTAGAGGCTCCTGACTTGGGACAGGCGCAAAAATGCGGCATGGTTAAACATGTTTATGAGATCTCAACCCTCCCGCTATACCTCTAGCCAATGTAGAAAAGTAAACGCATAACAATACGCACATTAAAATTCAGTTCAAGAGAAGTCCGAGTCTGATGTCAGAAGATGTAACCAAAGAAAATAAACAAAATGACAATAATACATAAATAACAACAGACTACTAGCAGTTAACTGACATGCCAGCTCCAGACTTCAATTAAACTGATTGAAAGATTATGTCTTCATCATATGAATATCAGGCACAATCCTTCCCGTTAGGGGTTTAGTATCATACCATCATAACATATATGAGAAGAACATAACCCATGCATCACATGTTATCTAACATATAGAGGACCAGAAGTGATAGTTCTGATTAATAATAGATGAGATTACTTTACAACATAATAATATCAGATAATATGTTAATTTCCTATTGTTTTATATTGAAACACAACAATAAATATTACAGTGTCGTCCTTGGTAATATGAGAATGTACCCTCGGTACGTTTTATGTTAGGAAATAACAGGAGGAACCCTGGTTAACCCAATAATAGAAACTTATAAATACGCCAAATTTTACGAAGAGAGACAGGTGTAAGAGGAAAGTGTATATACGGTACCCAGGATGACACTGAGTGTCCTGTTTAGTTCAATCAGGGATTTGTATAGTAATATTATATCAATTTGAATTAAAAAAAATATATATATGCTTATCTTAAATCTTAAACCTAAAATCATGGATCGTCATGATATATTTTCCGTAATATGTTCCGTTTATGTTAATATTTTTTTTTTTTATTATTTTTTTTTTTTTTGTGTTTTTGTGTTTTTTGCTTTAATTTCAAATTTACAAATGTACAATTTTAAATTATTTTCTATAGCATTTATGATTCTTTAATGTATCAATATGGTTATTTACTCACGTGTGTCATTGTTCTTCAGGTGCGATAAATTAGTAAAAATAAGTACATGACTACAAACATGTTGATTTGGAAAAATGAGTTATTACAGATCTGAAGTCCATTACTACAGTTACTGTAATGGACTTCTGGTTATCATAATAATAATATTGAATAGCTGACTGGAGACAGTTGAATTTCAGTAATGTAAGGCGGCCTCTTAATCAATATTGGAGTTTATTACTTAGAATATTAATATTTTTTTCTGAGTTAACTATTTCAAGCATCCTTAGAATATTAATATTTTTTTTCTGAGTTAACTATTTGAGGCATCCTTCCCGAGTCAGCTATATGTATTTTTTGAAAAATAATTTTGAGTTGTCATTATCATGATTATGTTTGTGTATGTGTATGTGTATGTGTTGTTTTGTTTGAATGTAATATATTGTACCTTGTTTTATGGAGATGGCTTACATAGGCTTTGCCTGTTGCCCAATCTAATTCAATTTATTTGAATAAAATACTGTTTAAACTACATTTTCCGTATACTGGTTTACATGTGCGTGTCCGTTAATCACCTGAATTAGACACAGTTTTTCTGACCAATCAAAATGAAGAATTCATTGAACGGATCAAACATGGTGGACAATGAATGAGGCAATTCGAAGACCAGAGCAAGTGTCCCCTAAATCCAGTCCCCGGGGGTCAAGATCACCTGCATATCCCCGAGGAGATTCGACTGGAACTCTGAAGACGACAATAAGCTTAGGGAGAGTTCCATCAGTAATACATTCAGGTCCATTTTATCTCGTCAAAGACACGGGAACCGGGACACACAGCACACATAGCAATGGTTAGACATTCTTAAGTTGAAATATTGTTTCCTAAGTTTTTTTTCCAAATATTCATTGACTATAGTCACGTTGTCCTGTATGAAGAGAAGTATTCAGTGTCCTGACATTGCCGTGCCTGTAAGTTCCAATGATTATGACCCTCTCAAGTCTGTTTACATCAAAATGCCAAAGTAGTAAAATCTACTTGATAAAGTGATTATAATGTTTATACCATATCATCGATGTGAGCAATGTTCATTGTAGAAAATATGTGAAATTCTTATTTAAAATAAAGACAAGAAGACAAAATTAACAACAAGAAAGTTATCTCCATGAAGACATGTAAATTTATAGAAAATGTCAGTAAATTTCTGTTGATTATTTGTTGTTTTATAAAGTTTTAAATTTTGTCATTAAAGGGATCTCCTGTACTTGGAGAAGGAAATACTGGTATATTGTCTTCAATACTGGTATATCTTCTACAATACTGGAATAAGATTTTGGTTCAGTATTGACCATGTTGACTATTGTAAAAAAAAATATATAAAAAAGACTACAATTACACTGGTATTCAAGTATTGTACATAATATTGATAAGGTATTTTCCCAGGCTGGGTCAATACTGTCAGAAATGGGGGGTCTCACTAATTAGCGAAAAGAAGCGTCAAGAAGCGACAAGAAGAATAATTTTAGCGACAAGAAGACTATTTAGCGACAAGAAAACATTTTTTCTTTATTAAGATTACTTATTCCAATATTAAAAAATATGCATTTGATTTTTTTTTTAATATATGGGCAGGAATAAATTGATAAATTTTTTTTATTATATTGATGGATGAAGAAATTAAACATTTGTGAGGAAGAAAGGGATTGTGTAGTTTTTTTTATTATATTGATAGATGAAGAAATGAAATATTTGTGAGGAAGAAAGGGATTGTGTAGTCCCAGATACGCTTTCTTATATTGTAAGCGTGTTAACATTCATATCTAGATCTAACACAATCGTTATACACTATGTACATGGTGGTTTGCCAATTTTTGAAGATGCTTTATTTGTAGAACTCTCACTACCAAAGACGTACAAAATATACTGATTTAACAAAGATGCGTTTTGGGTTCTAGCAATTGCACAGAGCACGTACTTTTGCAAGAATAAGACTGAAATGCTGACAATTTACTTTACACTTGAAACATAAAAGTTGAATGGCTTCGAATTCAGTCAGCTTGATAGAGCAAAGGAAATGCACACGCTATAAAATGGAAATAAAAACAAAGATTTTTCAACTTTCCTTTGAAGAATTTATTGAATACAAAAACATGAAATATTATTTCCTTTCTAACAGTACAATTCATTGTTCTTGATAGGAACAACATTAGATGTGGCTTCATCCTAAGGTAATAACAGTACACACAATGTGAAACATCAAATGAGATTAACGAGGCGTGTGTCCCTTGTTTTATTGCTAAATAACATCCAATTAACACCTTCAACTTTGTACACGCGTCAGACTATACAATTACACGCGCCAGAATATACAATCATTGTAAATAGTGAACACCTGATGAAAACTCAAGATTGTCATATAACTTTCCTTTAATCTTCAATCAACATTAAACTATTCATAAAGTTAACATGATAAATATCATTAAATGAGGCAATACACAAAATAAAATGATGAAAAATATTCACATTTATGTTTTCCTCTTGTTTGATTTCAGTTCTCTGTATTTCACAATTTGTGTCTGTATTTTCTGGACAATGATGCACAAATAATGCATTTTGCAAGTTTATTATATAGTGTACAAAGAGAGTAAATAGAATATTAACTTTCTTGTCGCTAAAATTGTTTTCTTTTGCATATTCTTTTAATATTTATTTGGAATAAGTAATTTATATTAAAAAAAATGTTTTCTTGTCGCTTAATAGTCTTCTTGTCGCTAAAATTATTCTTCTTGTCGCTTCTTGATGCTTCTTGTCGCTAAAATTCTTCTTGTCGCTAATTAGTGAGACCGGAAATGGGTAATACTGAGCAATATGATTTTTTAAGCTTCTAAAAATCTTATCACAGAATAGTGATAATATATTGATTATTGTAATTTCATAGTCACTGATAGTATTATTCAATTTATTGCTAAATACATATAAAAATAAGGAGATGTGGTAATGAGAATGAGACAACTATCCACCAAAGTTCAAATGAAGTGGATGTAAGCAATTATAAGCAACCGTACGTCGTTCAACAATGAGAAAAATCCATACCGTATAGTTGGCTATAAAAGACCCAACATCAACAATATGAAACAATTCAATTGAGAAAACTAATGGCCTTAAGCATGTTAAGCAATATATAACAAAACAAGTTAAGAAAAACAAGTATGACAGACATGAACCAACGACAACCACTGAACTACAGATTCCTGATTTGGGACAAACACTTAAAGAATGTGGCGGGATTAAACATGTACATGAGCACTCCACCCTCCCCTAACCTGGGACAGTGGTGTTACAACACAACATAAGAACAGAATACATTTTATACAAGTGAACATTGAGTCATTTTCTGGGGATAGAAATTCCAATTTCTTTGTGTCATGATTGAAAAGTGTGGTCAAATTTGTTTTCGTTTCGCTAGCTGCCATTTTTGTTAGCAGTTACACTCAATTGTCTGTAATTGCACAACCCCTATTTGTATTATAATCAAAAGAATCCTACATTTAATTACTGTTTTAAAGCCATGAGGGATATCAGCTAATGATTGTTAATCACTTGTACAGGTAGACAAACTTGACAAGAGAAAACATTCATCAACTTCAGACGATCAACTGCATTATTTAATTACTTTTCAGCGAGTTTATGGAGTGTGTTTTATTAACTTACATAATCAGCACTGCGCTTTATAAACAAGTACAAATTTAGACTTTTAATCATACATGTACATGTCATGCATGTCATAAGATGGAACATAATTTCATACACGTGATGGACTGTGAAACTCAGACCAGGAGATTGGGAAATTTTGGTCAGGAGTTAAGACCTCAGATCAGGAGCTTTTTTATCGACATTTCGTCGTTAATGTTACCATCTTACATGTCTGATGTAAAAAAAAAATGTGTTTTTTCTTCAATTTCCATCTGAATGTAATATATCAATGCAGGGATGATTCTACTATATAGTTTAGGGCCTGTTAGCGGCCCTTAAATCGGCCGGCGGCCCCAAGAAAATTTATGTGAATATAAATTCCTAATTCAGGAAAAATAAAATAAAAATCGATATTCATAATATTTCCGGAAATGTTTCCGTCACCGATTTAGGCAACTATAATTTTTGATAGTTTGTCGTCAAAACGTTTTAAAATCCGGATAAGAATGCTGTCAACGATCGCATTTTATTAACAATGATTTAATTATGTCAACATGTGGTAAAACGATTTTAGCAGCCGGATTCAATAGTGATGAAAATGTTATGGGGGTTTTTGATCTCGTAAAAGCAGATTGCCCAGCAGGTCGATAAAAAAGATGCTTTTTGTCAAAATGGGTCTCATTAAAGCAGACCTCGGCAGAGAGCAAAATTTAAATTTTGATATAATTAACATTGATGAATAAATTTTAATGGGCGCCGATCTTGTAAAAGCAGATGGCCCAGCAGAGCTGGTTATATAATATGATGAAAACTTGTTTTGTAAAAGAAATTATTTTATATTTAGTCAGGCTCTATTTCCCCAAAAAACAAAAGTTTGAGCGTGTTTGAAAATACATGTGGATGATAGATCATTCATGAAATAGGATGTCAACATTATGGAAATGTTTCAAAAGTTGTGAAGATGATCCAAATAATATTAAAATACAAAGGTTCAATGCTTTAATTTCCTGTTGCTCATGTTCTTAGGGTTACACCTAAAGTAAAACCATGGCAACCTTCTACATATTAAACATGTTAAACAGCAAGCAAAAATCACAAAAATATCTTATCAATTAAGTACTTAAACTTTTGTAATAGCTTTTCTAAATTCCATAACTGGCCAGTTCAATTTGAAATCCATTTGAATCGAGGTAAATTTATAAAGATGACCTGTTGTTGAAAAAAATATTCAATGGATGATTTTTTTCAGTGGTTTATGTTAGCTATTATATATGTAAAAGGCCGAGGTTACCATAGCTAAGATGCAAGCCTACAAATGATAGTGCATCATGTGCAATGATCTTCATGTAACAACTTCCCTGGTCTCAATCCAATAACTGTCAAGCGATCTGGTAATCATATATATCATTTTTAGGCAGTTAAGCTGCCTTATGCTAGCACCCTAGATTTGTGTTCTTCCTAACGAATGCTGAAAAAAGTGCCATTGTTGTAATCTAGCAGGCTAATATGTTATTTATAACTAATTGGACATTTTTTTCATTCTTTCAATTCTGGAATACAAAAAATATGACCAGAATAACCTTAAATGATCGTCGAACGACGCATAATATTTGAAGTTGCACATAGGAAATAGTGCTCAATAGAAATCGGTACGTAGTTTATTATCCCCTGTGCTTTTGGCTAAGATGGCAAAGAACAATTGTATGAAATATTTCATCGCCGAAAATCTGTAATTACAAGTCGTTTATATTTCCCAAATGGCAAAATGCGCAGGAATATTGTTCATGTACACCAAATCTCTATGATAGAGGGAATAAAGTTATATATAGTACACATGTAGTCTAAGTTGGCGGTAATTTTAACTTACACGAAACGTAAGTTCGTTTGATTCTGATGATATAAAGTCCGATTAAGCGAAAGTACTCTTAATCATGATATTCTTTTAGTTTAAGAAGATTGTGATTATTTAATTGATTTAAATTAAATGTATGCACATTTAAATTCCTTTCTTTTATTAAATTATTCCGTTTATCACTGAACTTGTTGTTATTTTATGAATGAAAAACCAGAAATCGACGTAATCAATGTCGACCAATCAGGTCGATGTTTTAAGAAATGCTGAATAACTCGTCCCAGAGACAAGTCGGACCGAGTCCACTC